AATATAATCACCGATTTGGACATCTAAGACATCCCGCTAGATTACCGGACCTGGACAATCTTAATATACCATACCATACGAGTATAATACAGTTTATTTTATTTAATTAACTGAATATCACTTCCCGTTAACGCATTGTTAATATAAATTTTTATATTGAATAATAAATCATCAATGAATTGCTACATACTTAAATATAATTAATTGTTAACTTTTCAATTATATGGATAATGTTAATAATTCATTGAATAATTAATCATTTATAAATCTATTTTAAGTGTATAAATTGCTTAACACCCGAATTTAAATTATAAATAATTATTTTATTAACAAATCTTTATAAATGGATTGTACAGGATCAATTAATCAGTTATAATTTCTTTGAGTAGAGGAGGCAACTGCTCCTGATCTCTGTCTTGAGTCCTTTGTTTGCATCGCGTTTCCTGATAATACAAATCAATTAATAGACTCATTAAACGCATGAATTTGTTGTCAGCTTCTCCTCGGTCTTGATATTTCAGAATTAGATATCGTTTTAATAAATACATATATATTTGCTGTTGAAGTCTGCGATTACAAAATAAATACAATTATTTTTGCAAACATTTCAAACGATAGCATACGATATGCTATAATTACCGGACAAGTTCTCTATGTTCAAGTCCAGGGCGGTATGGATTAAACAACACGATTGCTGTCATCTATTCATTTATATTTGATATTTTGAAATTAATTTTAATTTATACAAATAATTTGTATCTAGTACCATATTAATTATGTTAATATCGGACTCCATTGCCGCGCAAACATTGGTTATAAACTCTTTGAACTCCAAGTATAGCTCACTTTCAGCAGTCTTTATAAAATCCATTGTAATTATGAGTGCATTCCTCTCATCCTATCAGCAAAAGTAGATATTATTTGTCATCATTTATATTCAAATAAAGTAGTAATTGATATTCAAATACAATTACCAGGTTCATAGTCCAATACTGCCGGTCACTATCATAGTAAGTAATGGATCGCATCGAATGAATCTCAAGTGAGCCATGTTTGAGTAATATCAGTTGATCCTGGTCACATAGAGTATTAAATCCGAATAAATGTCTACACATTTTGACCACATTTGCGATATCAGTGTTGCGTTGAATGTCTATAATTTGGTAGAACTGGTCGATTGTCACCACAACTGATGTGTTACTCGAGGTCTGAATTGTGAGCAAATCTGTGGCACTCATGAGTTCCGTAAAGCGATTGCCTTCTAATTCATTGAATATATTGCTGTCAGTGAGGGGTCGGTCCACCGGACAGATACTCATTCCCAGAGTGAATGCCCTCTCGTAAGCCTTCGTCCGCTTATCATTCACTAAACTTGTGCTAAATATGTGGTCAGTATTAATGTAAGCTTGGTTGTTTGTATTAGTAATGCACAGTAAAGGCACTGTTGATTGTGTAGATGTATGATCTGGATCAGCCTCGGGTTCAGTGACTTCCAGGTCCACTTGATCCGTCATCTTATGGCGCTTTTCTCTATTTTTGGTGATTTTCTCCATTCTCTTGGACTTTGCCACTTCATCCAGAATCATTTGCTATCATTATACAATTACAATATAACATTTGTTAATTAATTATATATGTTAAATTAAATATTCTTCATAAAAATATTTTTAAAATTATAAATAATTTATTTTTAAAGAGATTTAATCTGAAAATTAATTTACCTAAATATTGTATATTTTGTAGTAGTATTGAAAAGTAACTTGGCAAATTTACTTACTTTATTCATACCTTCATTGAAACACTTATTAATCCGACATTTGGCGCACTTTCTTCTTGTGACCACATTTACCACACAATCGTTTGTATCGTA